TTTCTTGCAAATGTTTTTGCTGCAGTGCGAACATAATTTGATGAGCGAAGGTATGCTATAGAGTTGCGTCTGTTTTGCGTTTCACTGACTTGAATTATTCTGAAAAAGCGTATCAAATATGGATTAATATACAGACTGCATTGTTTTCATTTGTTTGAAACCTGCAAAATGTATGTTTAGGGATTAAAGCTAAAGGAAAGCAGAGACAGTACACTGGTTTTGCCAGAGCTATCCTTGGCTGTGGACCTCTGAAAGCCTTCTTGGCTGAGGCATCAATCGAACATTTTGGAGCTCCTCTTCCTGGCTAACCCAGGGAGCCAGGCCAGATTAATGAGCAAGCTGTACACAGTACTGACGGGCATTGTTGACTCCCCACCGAGGATTCCCGCTCATGTAATCTTGGGGAACCCATCAGGATTCTTAGAAAGTATTTATTTTGACAGAAAGAAAAATTCTAGTTCAGATTTCCTTTCACTTCTAACTACATATGCCTGCAAGGATATTTGTTTTCCTGCCTCTGATGTGGACCTCTAGAAGCTCTGTAATAATAGCATGCACAATTGGGCTGCCTCATTAGTCCCAGGCTTTGAATTAGTAGTTATTTATTTTATAAATTAACTGAAATAGCTTCAGACTAAAAACTCCACCTTCCTTCTACTTTGGGCCAAGGCATTAATGGAGATGGTATATTCTGTTTACACAGAAAGTAAATTCATTGCTTTACTTTAAAACATGTTTTATCTGCCAACAATGCAATAGAAACCAATTGCAACTTGTACTTTAACAGATGTTTGTACTAAGTTTGGACAAATAGTCACGTATAAGGACATCAGATTATCTAGGAGAGGCACACAGACGATTTTGAAACAAATCCAGTTTTGGAGAATAATAACACAAAAATGTTAATGTAGTCCCTTAACCTCACTAACAAAACAACAAGGATTATTTTATTATATATTATAGAGGGGGCTGATTGTGTAATGTAATCTACCAAGGTAAGTGTACCCATGTTTTATTTAGCCTCCCATCCACCCCGACCTCTTCCCTTACGCAGAGTTTGTGGCTCTACAATAACTTCACCTGACTTCTTCTATTGCGTCTGACGGACAGCAGTCATGATTACTGTTAACGCTAGAGGGCTTGAACATACCAACAGACGTTTTGGGGCATTTACTGATACTCTATAAGTCTCCTAAAGATTGTATCTGTTTTGCCCACCTTTAAACACAACTATCCACTGGATCCAGGTGTGTATACAGAGAGCTGTGTCCTGTCAGCTGATGTCATTCACATACATTGCAACCGGAAATAAACTGGTTGGTTACGGTTGAAATTGTGAAAGGGTTTTTATATTGTACAGTTGGGACACCACAACTTTGAGGAAAACCTTACTGCTTGTTTGAAGCCACCGTTTCTGAATATGGTGTGTGTGTAATTATCCATGGATTGAGTGTTTCAACACTTTCATGGTATTTATATAGCACTTAAACCTGCTTTTGAATAACAAAAGACATAAAAATCTCACTTTTTACAACATGGGATCTTTAACTGAGAGTTCTGTCCTTTGAGTCACCACCCTCTTGACCTGGTAGGCCTAAATATGAAGCGATTATTCCGCACGGTGTCAGCCCACATCACCTATCTGTGAGACTAGGCTCCCTCCTGGTCACAGGGTGCACTTAAGAGACAGAGGAAGTCTTTAGACAGGATCCGTGTTGGAGGTGGAAGTCTTGTGTGAAATGATTTAGTTTTAGGGTACCTCACAAATGAGCTCTCAGAATTATTTAGACTGTCAACTAAAGTGAGAGTGTCGGACTTGCACGTGTGTTACCAGCCTACATTTAAGTTATTACATGTTATTATGCGTTAACAGTGCCATGTGAGAGCTGCCACATTTAGCCCACTTGCAATACTGGAACTTGAAGCCCGCACACATTGAAGTGCACCACACACACACACACCCTCTTTTACACTTCCACTCTTCCAGTATGGAAAGTGAAAAGTAAAGTGCACCTCGGAAAACAACTGACAGATTAAGCTTTGCACTTTAAATATAGAAAGGGTAAGCCAATGAAAACCTACACGGCTATTAACGAGAAAACGTAGACATCACGTCCGAATGCTGCTCCTTTGACATGATGCCGACCAGTTTGTCGACTGACTCACTCGTGTCATCTTACCAAATGTGAATCATTCATCTGCATACTGTATAAACAGCCCCATTAAGTCATTTACAACTACTACAGATGCAGCAACAGCTATATTTAGCGATCCTTTTTTTATATTTCTCACTTTCTTTCGTAGGCGGAGGGAATGCCCCTCTGCCATCACCATTCTTGTAGATTGTGGGTTTGAGGTCGACAGCTAGCCCTCGTAGACATTGTGAGTGGTAGACTTAGAGAGAGAGGGAGTGTGTGAGAGAGGGAGAAAGGGTGGGGGGATGGGATGGAGGGGTGGACCAGCTTTCACAGCTGAATAACTGGGTCAGTTTAAGATGACGCTTCTTATCTCCTCAGCTCATCGCTGGGTGTTCACTGTTCACTGCGCAGCTTTTCAGCAACCAACCACCGCTCAGCTATTCTTCTCTCTGGTCTTTTCTCCCATCCTCTCTTCCTCCCTTTCTCTTCCTCGACCCTTATGACCCTGCTACTACCATAGGCAGTAGAAGCACAAACTAGCTCCAAGAAAAATGTCAGTGTATGCATCTATATGCATTGCCTGCACATAACATTGAAGGGCAATGCTGGAAACTGTGCTTCTCCATGTGAGGAGGTCTGACAGTGTCGAGTTTCACAGAAAAGGACAGCTTTCGTTTGTAGTCAAGTCAACGTAGATATGATGAAGTCCACCCATCTTGTGAAATGTGGTTGTGTCGAACTTTAATTTCCTTCTCTCTCTAAAACAGGGGTCTAAAATATGTGAATATATATATAAAAAAAAGTCAAAATTGATTCAACACAACCACAGGGATTCTATTTATTCCATGCATTCTTCTACCTTATCAAAACCTGGTGTCTACATTAACCACAATGCAACGTCAACCACCTCTTTCTGACTCTACAACCCCAGATATTTTTATTTTTCAAACTAGTAGCCTGCAGCTGCAAAATACTATCTCACTATAAGCCTTCTGTGCCATTTAATTATGAATCCCAAGTGCTCTTCTTGGCAAGACCTGCTCTGTGCAGCATTCAAGTGCTATGATTGGCGAGGCGTCCATGCTTGCAGAGGTACTGGTAACCTGATTTGCTCTGGTCCTTTGCCCCGACCAATTAGCTATCCTGACCCTAACTACTGGAAGGTCAATTCCTGACATCAATCAATCGTCTCTGCCTTTACCAGCTACGCAGGGCCGTTCTTGCCAAGAAGAGCAGTGGGATTCATAATAGTGCTTCTATGCCACCTTAATGGAAACAAATGCATATTTTTATTCCTGTATTGACAGGGCATTGTTTGGATCAGCTAATGAAAGTCCTTCAGTCAACTGACTCCCTTCCCTTTCATTCAAAAAGCCTGATGTTATCGTAGAGTTTCAGCTTGAGCCTTCTCCCCATCTCTTTTGTGTGAAACATCATTGATGTCGTTGACTTGCAAGCTTATTCTGATCCTAGACAAGCATGTGGCCAGGATTGCCATCGTCCTCCATTCAAGCAGCAAACGATTAAAAATACATGGGGGGGATTGGTTTTTCTTACTTAATACCTCAGTCACAATGCATAGGATCAATCCAAAGGACCATCATAGGAAAGTAATCAAGGTCCCATCATAAATAATGAATGGCACAATCACCAGGGACAGTGGGCTCCTATTGTGAGATGGATTGAATGGAGAAAAGATCCCTCCAGGGGAGGAGCTATTGTGCATGGCTATGCTGGTCAGCTGTTGCGAAGATGATGATGATCATAACGGAAAGCAATATCCCAATAGGTCATCATTTTTCTACATCTACAACACCAAATTTGAATATTTCTGTTTGTTATACTATGCTCTATAGTAAAAGCTTTTATTAAAAAAAAGTTTTTTTATTTTTTATAATTCTATCATTTTACTGTGATGCTACAGTATGTAATACATTCGCGTTTTGTGTCATCAAGTATATACTAGATAAGATATTTTTATTTAATTTCTTGTTCAGTTTTCTGATATTTAGTTCAGTTAAGTTTGCACAATTTAAAAAATACAAAAAAATAACAGAGATAAATAATATCACAGTGCACGAAGAGGCAGAAAGCCCACTGGGCTTATTCGAAGCCTTCGACTATATAATATATAATATAACACAAAATGAATATACATAAGATATGACTGAGTAATATTGTGGACAAGGTATTTTTTTTTACAAGATATGATATCAAGAGGCATTTATAGTCTGGTCTGATTTAAATTAATTCACTAACTGTAACAATTGCGCCCATTTGGTTGTTTTCATTAATCATAAAAAAAAGACATTGTTTAATAAAGATATTGTTTAGATGCACAACTCAGGTGTTGCTGCCATAGCTCCGCAGGTGGCCTTACCTTGCCGGTCATACTGTATATAGTCACTGAAACATTATACGGGCCAGCAGGGCCACAATCTCACACAATGCAAGCACTGACTCAGCGTAGCAGTTGAGGAGTGCATGTCAACACTAAGCACTTCCTCTCAACACCCCCAACACATTGTCGCTGCTCTGCTGTGCAGTTGAGCACACACACACGTGTGTGTCCTTTTTTTGCTTCCTATGATTGTTCTGGCTGGACTCCGCCTGTATTTAATAGGCTGTATTTGCTGACATGAGGGTGGGCATTCATTATTAAGCTCATGTTTTTTGAAAATGTTCTGCAACCCACAGGAGGCAAGTCGCTGTTTAATTACACATACTGTAACTAGCGTTTCCTATAGTGTCCCCAGCTGAATACTTTGTTTACTATAGAGTGCATTAATGAGCACAGTTACAAGACTTGCTGCGCTCTGCATAAAAGTAATTTCTCTTCTGTCTGTGGCTTTATCTCCTCAGGTGGTGCTAGTCTTTGCGCTCAGCATCGGGGCCCTCGGAATATACTTCATAGACTCCTCAGAGTAAGTATCAATTTTATGACATGTTCACTGAAATTATTTGAAATTTCACACATGCTCCAGCAGCTTTACTGTTGATGAAATATAGACACAAACTGAACTCTGCGAGTCCTTACTCATCTCCACACACTGCAATCTCCGAAATGCAAATGCACATATTCACTCCCCCACAAGCCGTGATGCACACATATACAGCACGCACACACACACACACACACACACACACACACACACACACACACACACATCTGCAGCAGAAGATTTTTCAATGGGAGGCCTGGCAGTTTCCATGGTAACAGAGACAGGCAGATCCTGCATGTGTTGGGTAGTTGTTCTCTGTGTGAGTAAGTGAGTGTGTGTGAATGGTCAGTTTATGCATATCCCTGGCTGGCAGTCACCCAGAGACAGGCCTGGAATCTCTCCGATAACCACTGCAGCTACTTTCACACCATCCAGACCCGAACTTTACCTTTTGAAAGAGATAGTTTGGATTTTTAATGTTTTGAGGTCTGAGTTTGTGCTTCGTAGATGCTCCATTATCAGGGAAAGATGAACAGAAGAGGGGCAGGTGAAGACATTTTTCTTAGCCCAATTAATTTTGATTGGTGGTGTGATATGGTTCATGTGTACAGTAGTAACATTCAACTCTATATTCAACAGCAAAACTATTTTGACATGTACCATTAAGTACACAAAATCTATTCTATTGTTTCTTCATATGTAATGCCAAGGGGTTAAATGTTTTAAATGCTGAAACAGCAGAACACAATCAAATGTGTTATCTCTCTCAGGCACATTGTTTTAAGGTGCTACGCTATGCTGTATCTTTGCTGATAGCAATTCTCCACTTCCTGACTACAGTTATCAGAAGCTTCTGCAGTAGACCGTTCCCTTCACATTTGGAGCACCATGGTTCAGAGTGCACTGCTTTCAAATCAAAGAAAAAGAGGCAATTTATTGTTTCCAATTATGTGGAAGTTGTTGTGCATGTGCCTCTGGCAGTGAAATAACCAAAGCTGTTTTGCCGTGCTCAACACACTAACTCTGTGCGCCTTTGACTTATCAGTATTTCATGCACCACTGATTTACCAAAATGAAGCCTCAAACTTAGCTGTTGTGCCTGCAGTTATGGAATGTTGATTGCAAAAAGGACCATGACATATTGACCTGGTAATGTATCATTCTATTTCATCCTATTCATTCCTCTGTTGGCTGTTGTGCAGGACGTTGTCTTTACGTAATGGCAAGCTTTAAAACAATACCTTTGAAATCCGGTCCCTGCGGGAACAGAGAGTCTGAAACAGGGATAGAGATGTAAAATTGTCGAAATAAGTTAATCCAAAATCCAACTTGTACAGCCTTATCTCAGCAGTGGTGGGAAATTATTCCTGGCATGATTCCAGTCATCCATGTATACCTCAGGATAAAAACCTTTACTTCCTCCTCTACATCTCCATTTCTCCTTTTTCATCCCTAATATATCTCACCCTCTTTGCTTTCCTCTCTAACACTGCCATTTTCTTAAGCAAAAAGGGGGTTCTGGAGACAAATATGCTTGATATAAAAGTGTCTAATTACTAGTCAGATGATGACTAGGGATGCAAAGTAATTACCCCAATCAAACATTGGCCATGTGAATGATTGTCAATCGTCAATGAATCATTAGAATCCTATACAAACAGCAGCTACAAAGAATTGTTGGGATGCAGACAACAGGCTCTTATTGGAGTTAGGGTGAAAATAAACCTTCAATGTGTAATCAGGGTCAATGGCTTCTTGTACAGTGCTGTTACATTTAATGTTCCTCCCACCCGAGTTACCTCATTGGAAGGCACTGGAACATCGGACCACATATCCATATTATTGTAAATAAATGAGGCCTAGAATGAATTTGGCACTATCAACAGGCAAACCTGAGCCGTTGAGTATGCTTCCATTGACAGATGTGTAAACAACAAGCTATCCAATAGAAAGACAGAACAAAGTAGGACATTTGAAAGCTCAAGGTTTGCAGAGCTGTACTAGGCCATAAAATCAAACCTGCAGGGGAAAATTTAAAGCACTGTTTGGTGCAAAGCTGTAGTTTCTCTCAACGTAGTATTTCCTCGTATCTTGCGTTGCAGTGCACTTATGAGTGTATTTCTATGTGAGTCGGCTTCCCTGAGGCATTGCCCTGATCTGTCAGTGCTCCCATTAAGCTGAGGCCTTCTCTCTACCCTCATCATCGTGATTAGCTCGAGCTTGTCACTTGAGTGTGTACATCCTCTCAGGGGGACAACTGATCAACCCAGAGCAGGTTGAGTCGACTCGGGGGGCTTTGCCATCCTAAAGGGGGGCAGGCTTGTGTTACAGCCTAACTTTCACTACAACAGCTGAGGCCTCTTATGTGCTCTACACCCATTGTTACATGTCGTAAAACTGACCTGACACTAAATCTTTATAAATTGTCTCCTGACAAAGACCTCTTTTTACCAGCCGTGACAGCGCGTGGATGGTATTGTTTTCTTTTAGTGTGTTTGTGTGCGAGTCATTATGGCCAAATGTGGTCCTACACCTACTGTAGCTGGAACTACAATAGTTTTTGAGTACTTTTCTAGGTGTTTATATGTCTGTCAGTCACAAAACTTTACATGTGTTTCGTTGAGACTAAAGAGAAGGTTCAGTTTGAAGATGGTCGAGGTCCGAGCAAGTGCGCCAAACACCCCCAGCCCCCACTTAATGCCCCCTGGCATTGTGGCTGTTGTGATCCCATCGCTAGATGGTCTCTAGTTATCTCTGCCACAATCTATTTGTCACCCAAAGATGTCGGAACTTGCCAACCTATACATAATCCAAAATGCTTTATATGGGCCATTAAAGAACAAATGGTTCCCAGGTATCATGTCACGTCCACACTAGCTGCCACAACTAAAGAGTGGTATAGTTAACAACAAAGCTAATACAAGGCACAGGGTTGTATCTCAAAGAAATCTCGAAGTAAAACGTGTAACTTATGTTTTTTTGCATTTGTGAAGTCCATTCTCTCCGAGAACATTCTGCAAAAGAACATCAATATTGACATATACTCTTTCGCTGTTTATCAGCTTGTGTGTAGGAGCTGCATGCGTACATAAATCTGACTGACATTTATACCCCTTTACTCATATCCTAAAAGTGCTCTACAGATGTACCGATCTAAATGTTAATGACTGAGGAAATCGATTAGCGCAGGGTTAAAGGACAGCCTTATCGTGGTAATAATTATGGTACAGACCCATGAACTTTTCAGGCTCAATGATTTATGGTCAAACTGCCATTTTGGCCATCGGATGAAGTGAACATCATTCTTAAATTGGCTGTGAAAAAGGCAACCGTAATGGGAAGAATTAAGGTTGAGTCCATGTGGTGATAGCTAAAAGAGGCATGTGGGTTGGACCTGAGGAGGCTGGGGCTGCACGATGGAACTGCTTTGTTCCTAGCTTTTGACAGGTGGGGGTTTTCCAGCAGGAGCTCTGTTGTTCAATATCCTGCAGCAAAGATCCACAGAAAAACCCTGCAAAGCCTTTTGTGGAAGCAGGTAGACAGAGTTTGAGAGGAGGGAATTGTTAATTTGCTGAGCACGGAGATTACTAGTCATTGACTTGGCAACCGTGTTGTTGTTAGGTTTTTTGAATGAATGGGAATGAATATGTGGCTTTCCTGAGAATGGCCATCCATCTGTTTGTTCTGACAATGTGGTTGTTTACCACAGTGACATGATAATGTATGAAAAGATGATGCCTTTTCTGTTCCCCTGCAGCAAACTTTACTCGCCAAACTGATGCTACTTTGGTGACATTTTAAATGGGAGGATACTGCGTCCTACCTTCAGAATCTGCTTTAATACCTTGGCTCATCGCTCATCCCTCATCCTTTCTTTTTCCACCTCTGTTCTCCCATGAAACAAATAGAGAGGAATGTAGGACACAGTCTCTGCAGGCTGCTGTTAAAGGGATGCCCTTGTACCTGCTCCACTTCTGTTTCTATTTCCCTCCTCTCTCGACCCCTTCCTTCCACACACACAGGCTTTCACTTGCACAGTCATGTTAACTCGCAGATTCGCGCACATGTATAGACGCACACAGATTCTGTCTCTTGTCTCAGAGACCTCATAAGCAGCAGCCTATGCCTGTAACTCTAGCATTAGTGTGAGATCATAGTCCGCACTGAAAAAAGAAACAGTGCCCGATGGCTAATTAATGGGGTAAGGAGCAGTGAGACGAGCTCGGCAGACTTTGTGGCGATGAAGGGTAACCTTTATAAGGACCTGTCCTTGATCTGGATTGATTTAATCTCCAAGTGGGTCAGAGAAGACCATGTAGCCATGCGTAGACTTACGTTGTAGTTGATACCATTCCCAAGTGGCTACAGATTAGATACACAAACAGTGGCAGAAAGAAATGTCTCATTTCTCATTTCAGCCGTTTCCTAAAATGGCCTTTTATACCTTTTCACAAACAGTGGCAGGGAGAATCTAACTGAGCGAGTTATTATCAACATTTGCTCTGAAAAAAAGAGAGAATATGAAATGTCAACATCACACTCACCGGATAACAAGCTTTTTTGAGTGCAACGGAACAATGTATTGTGGAGACTGAGCATGAGCTGAGAACGGTGACAACATTTGGAGTCCCGTCTAGCTGAACATCAGTGTGACGGTATAACATGTTAGCCCTCAGGTATTATTCTAATGAGAGGGAAACATTACCCTGGCTGTCACTCTATCTGGTAAATGCAGATTCAGTGCGTGAAGCATTGATTGAAGTCTAATGAAAAAAAATTACCGGAGAGATTACCGAAGTCCCTCGGCAATGTGATCATTCTTCTGGTATCAGTGTTTATCAAAGTCATCGTGTCGATATATAAAGGCCATTTGCTGTTGCAGTTGCCTGATATCCCTCAATGCAGAGCGGAAGGGCTATTTTCAGACTGCAGCACGAACACAGCAAAACATGCAGTTAACGTAATAAACCCGAGATTTAATT